AAAAAAAAAAAAAAAAAAAAAAAAAAAAAAAAAAATTAAAAATAAAAAAAATTCTTTTTTTAAAGTTTAAGGAGTAAAATGACTCTAGTCTTTTTGCATAATCGAATGATATTGTTTTAAACGAATGATGTTATTTAAAAAAAAAATTTGAAACATTTTTTACATTTTTTTTGTTTAAAAAAAAAATAATAATAATAATAATAAATAATAATAAAACCAAATTAATCTTTTTTGAAAATAATTCAATTGTTGAAAAAAAAAAAAAATTGGAGAATATTGAGAATATTTCAAAACGATTTAAAAAAAATATATAAATAATATAATATATTATATAATATTATGTTCATACACACAATATATATACTGTATGTAATAATAATATTTTTTTTTAATGACCCATTACCTTTGTCTAAACTCTAAACCAATCAAATTTTAAATTTGATTCGTCAATTAATTAAAGATTCAAAATCACGATATTCCAAGGCGTAAATAAAAACAACGGTTTTTTTTTTTATTGATTATCTAGCATTTCAAACATTTCAAACAATTCAAACAATTTAACGATTTATAAAAATAAAAGATTTCAAATTCAAAGATCATTATTATCTGTCGGCTACATAGCAATGAATATTCAATGAATATTCAGGAGTTTTGAGATTCAAGATAACATAGGTTTATGTAAATTTTTTTTTTTTGTCATTTCACACGAACAATGGCGTTTGTTTGAATAATGTGTATTATAAAACAGGATTGAGAATAGGCCATTAAATAAATGAACGTGGCTGGCTGAATAAATTTTGATCGAGATCTTGAGAATAACAAATTGAATTAATTACTGAATCAATTACTTATTATAGTATGATTGATTTGATGATTCGCACTTTGAATTTACCGAGATCGCAGAATATTTTTATTTCATCAATTGTAACAATCCGAATCTGTTCCAAATATACGCTCAATTATATTTAAATAATTTAATTATATTTTCAATTCTTCTCCCTCCTGATTGGCGGCTTTTACTATTAATTAATATAATATATTTTCAAACAGATTGTGCCAATAGATCATAAATGAATCAAAGAAATTTGAAATCTCCCTCTGATTGGCGATTTTTACTAATTCATCCAAGATTTATATAATATATTTTCAAACAGATTGTACTAATAGATTATGCACAAAATTTATCGTCGATTTTTTAATAGATCGCATTTATTCTCCCTCTTGATTGGCGGCTTTACTATTAATTTATCCAAGATTTATATAATATATTTTTAAACAGATTGTACTAATAGATCATGCATCAAAGAAATGAATCAAAGAAATTTGGAAAATATTTTATTACCGGATTTTTTAATAGATCGCATTTATTCTCCCTCCTGATTGCCGGTTTTTACTATTAATTCATCCGAGATTTATCTAATATATTTTCAAACAGATTGTACTAATAGATCATACATAAAAAAATGAATCAAAGAAATTTAAAAAATATTTTTATTGCTGAATTTTTTAATAGATCGCATTTATTCTCCCTCTGATCTGATTGTCTGATTGGCGGCTTTTACTATTAAATAATATATTTTAAACAGATTGTACTAATAAATCATACATAAAAAAATGAATCAAAGAAATTTGGAAAATATTTTATTACCGATTTTTTAATAGATCGCATTTATTCTCCCTCCTGATTGCCGGTTTTTACTATTAATTCATCCAAGATTTATCTAATATATTTTCAAACAGATTGTACTAATAGATCATACATAAAAAAATGAATCAAAGAAATTTAAAAAATATTTTTATTGCTGAATTCTTTAATAGATCCATTTATTCTCCCTCTGATCTGATTGTCTGATTGGCGGCTTTTACTATTAAATAATATATTTTAAACAGATTGTATTAATAAATCATACATAAAAAAATGAATCAAAGAAAATTAAAAAATATTTTTATTGTTGAATTTTTTAATAGATCGCATTTATTCTCCCTCTGATCTGATTGTCTGATTGGCGGCTTTTACTATTAAATAATATATTTTAAACAGATTGTACTAATAGTTCATGCATCAAATGAAATGACTCAAAGAAATTTGGAAAATATTTTATTACCGAATTTTTTAATAGATCGCATTTATTCTCCCTCTGATCTGATTGTCAGATTGGCGGCTTTTACCTTTTACTATTAAATAATATATTTTAAACAGATTGTACTAATAGATCATGCATCGAAGAAATGAATCAAAGAAACTTGGAAAATATTTTATTACCGATTTTTTAATAGATCGCATTTATTCTCCCTCCTGATTGCCGGTTTTTACTATTAATTTATCCAAGATTTATATAATATATTTTTAAACAGATTGTACTAATAGATCATGCATCAAAGAAATGAATCAAAGAAATTTGGAAAATATTTTATTACCGATTTTTTTAATAGATCGCATTCATTCTCCCTCCTGATTGCCGGCTTTTACTATTAATTCATCCAAGATTTATGAAATATATTTCAAACAGATTGTACTAATAGATCATGCATCAAAAAAATGAATCATAAAAAATATTTTTATTACCGAATTTTTTAATAGATCGCATTTACTAAAAAGAATATCTTTATTCGCTCAATTCTTCTCCCTCCTGATTGGCGGCCTTTACTATTAATTACATCCAAGATTTATATAATATTTTTTCAGACAGATTGTACTAATAGATCATGCATCAAAAAAATGAATCAAAGAAATTTAAAAAATATTTTTATTACCGAATTTTTTAATAGATCTCATTTATTCTCCCTCCTAATTGGCGCTTTTACTATTAATTCATCCCAAGATTTATCTAATATATTTTTCAAACAGTTGTACTAATATATCATGCATCAAAAAAATGAATCAAAAAATTTGGTTTATAGATCGCATTACTAAAAAGAATGTCTTTATTCGCCAATTGTACTGCACTTGCTATGCCAAATATACGTTCAATTATATGTTCAATTCTTCTCCCTCCTGATTGGGGACTTTTATTGTTAATTCATCCAATATTTATCTAAGATACTTTCAAACAGATTGTACTAATAGATCATGTATCAAAGAAATGAATCAAAGAGATTTGGAAAATGTAAGCAAGGTGATTTAATAAAAACAATTCTACGGAAATTCTACGAAATAAATATGTAATTTTTAGATATTTTTCACGGTCAACTTTATGTGCTTGACTGCTATAGCCAAAAATCCACCATATCCAAATGTTATACCCGGGATTTAAAGACAGATCCAAAACTTATTGGTTTGATTTAAGTTTTGGATGCTGAAATTAAATTTGAATCTGGCCGGAATTAAGCTCAAATCACCTGATTTTTTGAAGTGATTATATATCGAATATAAGTCGATTGGCTCACCAAAAAATGAGGATAAAATGCCTGAAAGAGATTGAATGATGAAAAGCTATATCCACTTTGCTATCAAGTTTGCACTCCTTTAAGTAATATTCCTTTTTTCGTCTTTAGGATAAAATTTCATAAAAGAGCCGGACACACGTCCAGGAATTTTAAGATGCAAAATTCCTATCATTAACCTTTATCGCATTATTGATGATGTCTGACTAACTACTTTCTGAATGCCAACGTCGATCTCGCAAAGATTGTACACGTGTCTCAAACTAACGTAAAACGTAAAACGCGCAGGACTATATTCCCCCTTTTAATACATATTTATTTACATATATATATTTTAACTTTTTGTTAAAATAAATATATTTTCTTTTTTTAAAATATATATATATATATATATATATTATCGAATCAATTTTTTTTTAGGTTTAATTTTTTTTTTTTAAGAATCAATAAATTTTTTAACGTTTTCCAACCAAATTATATATTCTTGATTTTCCTTATGAGTAGAATATCTAAGAATATATTGGGATAATTCCTCGTTTATACCTCGATATTCTAAATATTTAGTAAATAAATGTCGAAAATTCTTTTCGAAAAAAAAAAATTATTATAATAATAAATTAGTCACAATAACTTATAATTCATAGTAAAAAAAATTAATACTGTAAAACTTACTGCACTTAAATTAGGGAAAGGAATAGCACTTTTTGTATGATTTGTTTGTAATGCTTCATAAAATGAAACATTTTCGATTAAAAATCTACCTTCACGGGCCAATGCCTCAAATGCTAATACTCCTTTATCCTTCTAAATAGTAAGAGAAAAGGAATATTTTATCGTAAATCGAATTGTTAGATATATTAATACGTATAAGATTAAAGTTGTAACTTACTTTTTCAATAGTTATAGCACACCTTAAAGTTTTTTCGGGGCTTTGTTCTTCAAATTCTTCCTATAAATAAATAACAACCAAGATTAATAATTGTTCTTTTTTTTAACAATAAGTATGTGTAAGCGTATAAGTGTATAAGTGTTAACTTTAATTCATTCTTTTAGTTCGATTTTATCAGAAATAAATTTTCCCAAAAGTAATTCTCATCAAAAATAAATTCAGATGTCCCTATCTGATTACTTAATTTATCATCATTAATCGAACGCAAAATACAATTAATCTTTTCTTTTGGATCACAAATAATTTGTACTTACATCAGATGAATCTATTAAATCTTCCTCATCTTTATCTTCTTCCGGAATGATTGTTGCCGGCGGTATGGTTGATTTACCAACTTTCCTCTCCTCTATTTCATCCTCATCTTCATCCTCATCCTCCTCATCCTCCTCCTCATCCTCGTCTTCTTCTTCAGCTTTTTCATAATATTCTAATGGTATAATATTAAAAAGTACTCGAATTCTTTTGTTTAACAAAAAAAGACGGGGTACAAATTAAAATAAATCGTAGAAAATTAAGTGATTTCATGAATTGATAAAAAAATTAATTATATACTTTTCATTATTATATTCTCTTGTCATATAAACCTCATTCAAAGTCCTTTTATCAAAAAGCTAAAGTAACAAAACCCGATTTTTTTTATTAAATATTGAAAAATTTTCATATAAATTAAAATAAATTAAATTACATTAAATTATAATAAGAATAAAATGGAATTTAGCATGATATTTACTCACTTCCCAATTGAAATTATTAAATGATACACTTATTGATTTGGTCATAATAGAAGGAATTTCTTTACCATTTTTTACATCATCTTTTGTTGATGTAGATGAAGTAGCTATTGTATCCTTTTCCTTTTCATAATATGTTAATTCTTCTGCCAATTGTGTACTCAAATCTTTATCAACTGATTAATTTGATGTAAAATTAAGGAAAAGTTATTAAATATCAAACAAGTTATCTTTTAACTAACTCACAAAAAAAGTTATAAAAAAAAGGCCAAGAATAGATATTGTAAAATAACATTTTGTTTTTTATAAATAAAATTCGAATAAAAAAGAACATACCCAAGCCATGAATAAACCTGATATTTTTTGAATTTATAAAATTATACTTATTATTAATATTATTATTATTCAGTATTCTTACTCCTTCTCGTGATGATATTTTATTAAAATGACCATTATTATTAAAATTATTAAGAAGACATCGAGATAATATTAAAAAATTTCTTCGAAATATTGTTGTAGCAGACATTTTTTTTTCTCAGAAAAAAAAAATGATTTTTTTGATGAGTGAAAAAAAAACAAAGATAATCTATGTATGAGCATCATATGATTAACCATCTGCGGTAATGATCAAATCATGGTTTACAAACAATGTTTAGCCTAATTGAGGAGTTAAAAAGGGGGGTCCTTAATGTACGGTGGGGTGTACGATATTAACGTACGAACTAACGCTATCATGTGCAAGTGCATAACTCCTAAACTCGGGCCAGTTCGTACGTTAATATTGTACACCCACGCCCCCGCGTTAAGGACGCCCGTTAAAAAGACTGGACCTATTTTCTAAAATTACATGTTAAAAGGTCAAAGTACAGTCAGCTCTCGATATAACGAACCCTCCGGTTTTCATATCAAATTCGCTACAAGATTATAGCGAAGAATTCAAAGAGCTGAGCATTCATTATAACAAGAGATGTTTGACGTATTTGATTGGTTAAATGTCACGTGTTGGGGAAAATTTCGTTTATAAAGCGAGTTCGTGAGTTGACTGTATTTGATTTGAATTATGGTATCACGGGCCATAGTACTACTATAGTCAAATATTTTTATGTCCAATATGTCCAATTCAAATAAAAATTATTAACGGCACATTTATATAGTGTTGAAAAATCATTTCTAAAATATTCGGAATATTGGAAGGAATTGGATTGAAAGGTTCAATTCCAATAAAAGGCCATTGCACGCTATCCCTGTACATGAGGAGGTTACTAAAACATGCGATATACAGTAGGTAAATATATTCAAAAGAATAACTTGATAAGTAGATCAATTTGAAACGTCCGAGATGAGTAATTGAGTTTCTTTTTTTGTTACTATTAGATCATTTAGTGTAATATTAAAATTTGCATTACCAACACATCTAAATCTATTAGTTTTTATCATGAAAAAAGGGGAAGTTATTTTCAAATTAAAGCATCAGACAATTGAATAAAAAACGCTTCATTTGACAAATATTTTTTCATCAGATTCTAAATTACCTCAAAGTTATCAACGTGAACAAGTTATAAATGAGGAAATGACGTTGGACATAACGGTGACGTCGATGAGTCTAGGGATGATCCATACACCATCACGTACCACTATAAAAGTAGGTTCCGCGCTACAATATCAACGTTGATAAATATTGTTAGAATATGCACGGGAACGTTGGCGGCCGTAAATGTAAACCTTTAAACCTTAATGCAGTAGATGATTCTAATATTCTTTTAGTTCTTTGTATAACCCTTTCCGAGAAGATTTAAACTAGTCAGTATTGGGAAAAGCGCCTGGAAATAATGACAAATTAAAAAAAAAAAAAAAGTATGATAAAAGCGTGGGACGTGAGAAAATTTTAAAAAAAAAAGTTTATATAATCAAATATAATTAACATAATTAACATAATTAATGTAATCCATTGTTAAACCTGTTGAAGGCAAGTTCAAAGGAGTTCAATTCAGATGATAAAATGTGTGTTTATATTACTAAAGTCATTATTCTTCATATGAATATTTTTGTGTAATCTTTCCACATGCGAGCTTAATCAAATAGATCATGATTAAAGTTTAGATTAAAATTTATTACTGATATTATTAATTTAGTAGCGATTTAATCTAAAAAAAAATGTGGAGGTAAAATCTGGAGAAATAAATGATAATCCAAATAATTGTGGCTTTTTGATTTACAATTATTACCTGTTACACTTTATTTAGAAATATTACAAAATCTTATGATTAAAAAAACTACATTCTCAGGGCGAAAAACTTTTTAACATAATGAAATAATTGGAACTCACTTCTTTATCCTTTTTTTTTCCAACACATGAAAATATGTACGTTCGATTAGTAATCTTTAAATGAGAAATCGAGTTTTATCTTGTTTTAATAATTGGGAGAAAAAAAAAAAAAAAAAAAAAAAAAAAAAAAAANAAAAAAAAAAAAAAAAAAGAAAAAAAAAAAAATAATAAAAGTTAATGAAATCACCCATTAAATGAAGCTAATTCTTATTCCGCTAAGAATTTCTTGGCAAGGGTTCTTGAATTATACTCCGCATTATTACATACGAAATTTAAATTGTATCCGCTTATTTTTATATTTGGTTTAAATTTTTTTAATTTATATTTTGTTTCAACAAATAAATCAAGATTAGATCAAATTTATCTGGGTTTTCTAAATCTTTTACCAAACCATTACTAGAAGGATCAGTTACCAGTATATTTTATTTTTCGTTGCGTTTATCTAAATTAAGAAATGGAGAACGGTTTTATGATATAGCACATGATACATGTGCAAATCATAATCTGAGAAACAAATAAATTGAAATATTAAGAAATTAAGACACATGGGATCTCTTCCCCTTTAACCCTTTTTTAATTTCCGGTAAGTTTAATTATTAAAAGTTTAAATATACAATAAAATAAGTTTATATACGTAACTATTGTATATATTTATTTAGTTGGATTAGTAGATCATGCATGTATAATTATTTAATCATCTAATCCTAATAAATTTAGATCGACATTATTTCCATAGTATAAATATACACTAAAAAAAAAAATGTATCCTATTTTTTGATACATCTTTTTTTCCTTTTCATTCAATAAAAGAAAAATTATGCGTGATTTTAAATATTCTCAGACTTCATTTGAAAAAATTGAACCCAAATTACTAAAGAGTCAAAAACATAAGGATGATGAATTAACAAATAATGATGATAAATCGAAAAAATCATCTCGTAATAATAGTGATGGTTGGATGTTACTTGACCATGCGGCACTCATTACTTCCCAGGCAACTATTTTAACAACAAATTTTTTTACTCATCATTTATCAGGTCCAAGAAAACCTTCTTGGCCAATTCAACTTACTTTAATGTGCGCTTCAATGAGAGCGTTAACGGATCATACTCATCTAGCTGATATAGAAACTTTAAGACGTTTAATTAATATCCCTTTCACTTTTGTTCCATCTGATATTATTGTAACTCCTGTTTCATTTAAAGTTTTAAATAAAGGTTTGCAAGGAATACTTAAAAACCTTGAAGAGAAAGAAACTGGTAATAGAGAGATAAGCTGTGAATGGATCGTACCTAAATCACTTTGGAGGAAAATTAATGATGATTATCGTTTATCTGCCTCTTGTTGTACTCATTTTTTTATCGATGATGATGGTATAAAATGGTCAAATGAGAAAGTTATCATGTATATACATGGTGGTGCTTATTATTTAATGTCTGCTAAGACTCATCGTGAGATAAATTATCGTCTTTCAAAGGCAACTGGAAGAAGGGTTTTTGGTAAGTTACTTATATGATGCAAGATGATGTATGTTGTTTCAATTTTAGAAATGATCTACTTTGCCAACATTCTATTAAATTATTTTTACGCATGATATGACAATAGCGGTAAATTATAGACTCGCCCCAGAAGGTCCTTTCCCTTGTGGTCTTCATGATGTTGTTCATTCTTTCCTTTATTTGACTGACCCTAATGGCTTGGCTATTCAGCCTGAAAATATTGTTATTGCTGGGGATAGTGCAGGAGGTGGCTTATGTATGTATTAATTTCTTTTTATATTTTCGTTGTAAAACTTTTATGAAATTAGTTTACATAATAACTTATACAGATTAACTTTTTGTAGCTTTGGCGTTATTGTATTATCTTAAGGACAATCACATGCCGTTACCTGGAGGCGCAGTTTTATTTTCTGTAGGTCTTAAATTTATTTTATTGATTATTGGCGTAATCTTTACTTACCTTTTTTATTAATATAGCCTTGGTTAGACTTAACGATGTCGTGTTCAAGTTGGGATCAAAATCAACCTTATGATTATCTCTTTAAACCAAAAGATGATGATCCTTTAAATCCAGTAAAGTTATATTTACATCCTTATGAAGAACGTGCTAAATTAGTTAATCATCCTTACGTATCACCTTTATTTGGAGATTTAAATAATTTACCCCCTTTATTAATTCAATGTGGTGATTCTGAAGTGTTGAAAGATGAAATTTACTTAGTTGCAAATAAAGCATCAGAAACTGGAACAACATTTGTTCAATATGAAGTTTATGAAGGTAAATTTATTAAAATATTTTTACCTTGTTTAAAATTTCAACTAATAAATAATTTTGATGGATTCTTAGATATGGTGCATGTTTTTCAAATGTTTAACTTCCTTGAACCAGCAGCAAAGGCTATGGATTCGGTGGGTTACTTTGTTAAAAATATTATACCAATTCACCAAAGGAACACGTTATTGTCTCAAGCAAATCACAAAAGATATTCCGTACTAGGTTATAATTTACAATGTCCCGTAGAATTATTAAGATCGCAAAATCCCACACCTGGTCATATGAGCCTACTTCCTTCAAATAAAGTTGATAAATCAACTTCAACACAAGAAGATGGAATCATTATTAATCACCCTTCGTCAAATAATTATTATTCAAAAAGAAAGGATAACAAAACTACGAGTTTACCTTCACAGAATTATCCTATGATGAGCACTTCCTCGGCTTGCTTTTATAATCGTAATAATAGAATTGGAGAACATTATAATCAACAACAACAACATCATCATCATCAACAAATACGATCCCGACCTACAATCAGATCATTAAGGTCTTCAAGTTATCCTGATTTAAAACAATTAGTTTCTAAAGAATATAATGAAAATTCTGTTGTTAATAAACCTGGTTTCGTGAATTTTGATGGTAAAACTGAAGAAGTTAGTGATGTTAATTATGAACCAAAAAAAAATACGAATGGTATGATTAATAAAAAGGATGTTAGCGTTGGATGATTATTGGGACTAGAAGGTGCGAAATTGTTTGATGAACAGACATTGTTTTACACGATTTTAGATTTTTTTTTGCCATCATCCGTTATAATATATTAGATTATACAATAATAACTTATTCATTTATATCCAATAGGATAGATTTTTTTTTTAAATTATATTCAATCATTTATTTCGTTTGTAGTATAGTGATTCCTTTTTTTTTGTAAATTCTTTTTTCCCTTTTCCTAACTTTTTTTTGGTAAATTTCAACATTTCATTGTATTTAAACATTTTTATACATCTTTTTCTTTTTTTACATTTTTATTGAATTATTATTGCATTTATTTTTGGGAGAGGTTCTTTTTACATATTTTTATTTGCCTTTATTAGTTTATTCTTATATCAAATGTCAATTAGACGAGAATAAATATAATTGTTATTATGGATGCGAACAGTGATGGAATTGTTGTCATATAACGAAAGATAATGGTTCGGATTGTAGACTGAAAATATGTGTGATTGAAATAAAAAAATAAATTTTGATACCACCAATATTTCATTTAATCTAGTTGAATAATCGTTGAATATTACCAGTACCCCTGTGAGAAATAAGGCAGAACCTCATGCCAATTACAGTATATAAAAAAAAAAATAAACCATAAACGGTAAACATACCAAATTATACAATCAATCCTTCTAATTGTATAACAAGATATTAGTTGACACGTAATTTCCACTTCAGGAGCAGGAATATATTAGCGGAGACGTGATTCGTTGTGATCTTAAATTTTTCGGGATGAGCGAAGCATCTCTTAGAATCGATTCGCCAAAGATGATCAGGATTTGTGCAGTTGGTTTTGTTACAACCTTTGGCTCCTAAGTTCGATGCGAGTTTGTCAATAATAAAGAAGGGAAATACGCATAAACGTTTTCAGTAAATTCCTAGTCGAATTTTCTTCGATAAATATTTATTTAAAAAAATGATTATTTAAACTTGAATTATGAATTATTTTATAAAAGTATAAAAGTCCAATCGTCCAATTATTCATTAATACAAATGACCATCACTATGATGTGGATACAGGAGATGTTACATTAACAAATTTAATCCTATAATCCTAAAGTTCTGTGAAATAGACTAATCTTTATAATTTAGCTTTAACATCCATTTGATTAAATAAATGTCTTTTTAAATAAGAATTTAAAAAAATTCCATTTGGATCTAAAGATTTTTGTAATTTTATAAATTCTTTAAATTTTGGATAAGTTTTTTCAAGTTCAATTGTTGTCATTGTATGCGCCTAAAAATAGAATAATTATTTTCTTTCTTTAGTTTTTACCTAGATTTTATATTGACTTCTCTAGAAGAATGTAAAGTAAGTACCTTTGCCCAATGTGGTCTTCCATCATAAGATCTCATTATTTTTTCAAATACAGCCCAAAGTTTTTTATAAGAAACAGGTTTATCATATGGTCTAAAAAAAATCGATTAATTTCTAAAAAAAATTTGAACTCTTTTCAAATTTTATTTTTTACTTACCTATACATGATAACACCGATGTAACAAACTTTTCTATTATAAGCGGGACTTAGCCAAATATCATCTTTATCCGAAAATCTTACTTCAACAGGATAATGAACAAATACATTTTCTTTGTTATTATTTATCCAATCGTATAACTTTTCCAAAGCTTCTTTAGTTTTTTCAAGTGGTATAGCCCATTCAGAAGTATATTGCGGAAATAAACAATCAAAATTGAATTGTTTATAAGAATCATCTACGAATTGTTTTTCTTGAGAGAATTTATAATTAAACATTTTTTGGTTTAATAATGGAAGCTTTGATGGAAAATATCGTAATATGTATAATAAAAACTGATATAAATGAAATGAAATTATATAATCCTTAAAATAATTTTGTTTTGGGGGGTTCAATTCCTTAATAATAAAAAAAATAATTAATCTATGTGTAAAAAAGATGAGACTTTTTATAAAAAAAGAACTTACCTTAATTGTTTTATCAGCTTTCCAAATAATACAATTTTCTGTATGAGGAAAATACCAAAATCTAACATGTTCAGCAGAATTAACAATAGAATCTAAATTATTTAATATGTCATTAAATTTCATTGGAAATTGTTTAGATTCTAATTTAAATGCTGATTCACATCGTATTTTAACTTTTAATATGATCCCTAATGCACCTATACTACATAATGATGCTTTAAATACATCATCATTTTCATCAGCCGAACAATTTATTATTCCTTTTGAAGCCGTTAATAAAGTTAACCTAATAACCTAATAATAAAATTAATTCTGTGTATATATATATATATAAAGTTATATATAAAGTGACCATGACTTACCTGAGAAGAAATATTGCCAAAATTAATCCCTGATCCATGAGTAGCAGTTGATATAGCACCAGCAATACTTTGTTCGGAAATTGAACCTAAATTACTTAATGCTAGTCCATTTTTCTGTAATACTTCATTTAGTTTATATACTCTTGTACCAGCTTCCGCTGTTACGGTTTTATTTTCCGAATCGATCTAACAAAAAAAGGTAAGATCACATGATCGGGATCACAAAAAAAAAAAAAAACCAAAGCAAAAAATTTCATACCTCGATAATTTTATTAAAATTATCCATATTAATCATAAGACCTTCAGTACATGCTAAATCGGATGGTGAATGACCTGCACCGATCGCTCTCACATTTTTGTTATATCGTTTAGCTAGTTCAACTATCTGTTAACAATTAATAAATAAGTATATATAGATTTTTTTTTTTTTTTTTTTAGAAAATCAATATATGCGTATGTATATATTTTATACAAATTTCAAATAAAAAAAAATTTTTTTTTTTATTATTATCGTTTATACCTTTATAATATCATCCTCATTTTCTGGCATAAAAAATAACTCAGGTTTACATTCAAATACTTTTGACCAATTTGAGAATTTTTTATTTACTCCCGATATTTGTTTTAATCGATCATCCAAAATCATTTTTAATGAATCAAAAAAAAGAAAAATTAAATAAGAAATATAATAAATAATAAACAATAAATAAGTAAATAACGTTTGTTTAATTTTGTGAAAGATTTCAGGAGACAAAAAATCAAGTTGCTCTAAAAAGGCATCTTATATCCAAATCAAAACATGTGATCATCTTTTATTACGAAATCAGAAAATTTAGGTTAAGTTTATTAGACCCAAAATCGGATCCGGATCAAATAAAACCGGTTACAATCGGAATTTAAATCTAAACACGAAACTTTAATCTAGTCAAGAAGTAAGGTGTCACAAGATTTTTTGCGACCATCGAATAAAATAATTTTTTACGGAAAAAATCATAGACTTAAAAACAACAGATCATATTTTTTTTTTATAGGATTACCGATGAGCAGCTGTATTTGAATAATCTTTTTTTTTTAGACAGGTAACATATAAATTTCTTCAAAAAAAGTCATGTGACAATGAATATTTTTGTGACGTGTGGCTACAATACAGTATATCCTTTTTGGTTTCAGGCAAGATCATAACAATGCAGGCCAAATAAGCACTCTGGTCGGATGTTATACCAAATGTAATATTACTAATTTTGTTAATGTTTACCATTTTATTGACATAATATTTTTTATTTTTTTTTTCAATTGATATTCATATGAGATTATGAGATTGATAGGTTTTCAAAAGTTATAAGAGTTAGTCTTATCTATAATATAAATAAAAGACATCATAATCAATTTCATAAATTCAGAAAACAATCATGCAAAGGTCACATGTTTCTTGTATTGATTGTATAAATAATAATAACAATATTGGTAAAGACTACAATATCAGTGTAACAGGAACGAGATCACGTGATTATATTTTTATCGGCATAAAGAAATCTTCGTTCAAAGATACTGTTATAAAAATATTTAGTTAAATTAGAAAATTTTAACAATTAGCAGAATTGTGGACGCACAACAGTATGAATGTGTACTCAAACATAACACAAAAATCTTGATCGAGTTATCGAGATTTTAACCAAATTAATCATCGAAAACTCAAAAAATCAAAATGGGTTAAATGAGCAACGACACGAGCCTTTTATAAATAATAACTCCCGAGTAAATTACAGAAAAGGAAAGGGATTAATATTTGATATATATTTACATATATATACATACATACATATATATATACAGTATATATATATATATTACGATCAGAAAAGGGATTTGATCATTCAATTATTCAATTATTGTGATGTCATTTTCTTTCGTAATTTTAATAAAAATAGAAAAAATAGAAAGAAATTTTTATTTTGATTTTTTGATAATTTTAGATTTGACAAATATAGAGAGATATGATATGATCTTCTTCTAATGAATATTTAAAAGTGAATTAAACAGCATTTATTATGCGGGATTTTCTAACATATGAATTCATAAATTTGCCCCAAAAAAAAAGCTGCGCGTAATGCTAGTAAGAAATTAATGTTAAGATATGACGCGACGTATTATTGAGATCACGCAATTTACTGTAAAATCTGAAAAAAAATTGGGATTATCAATGTGCATCAAATGTATATATAAATGACACCATCTTATCCACATTTTGCATAAATCTTTTTAGTAAGGAAATCGTAAATCATCGGTTTTAATTTAAGGTTGAAGTATTTTTTACCAGAAAAAAAAGTTGTTCATCCATATAAAGCTTTTCTTTTTATTGAATTCTCATAATTAGGAAAGAAAAAACATGCTATACCAAAAATATAAATGGTGCAATTATAAGGGATAATTCGTCTTTCTTTTCTTGCCTATAGACAAAAAAATAACGGGTATTTTTTGTGAATTTGGTTTATAAACAAATATGTACATTGTGCATCAAATCAAATAAAATGCAAGTGAAATTTTCTTTAATATGATGAAATCTTTCTAGAATATTATTGGAGGAAAATATCTAAAAGATTTTAACTTTAATCAATTGAATCTACTTTCTCAATTCTGTCAATAAAAAAAAATATTTTAAAACGTTTATACTAAAAGAAACAAAAAAATACTTTAAACGTCAATTTTTGTGGCTCGCGGTCACAAAAAAAAAGAGAGAAAAAAAAAAAAAAATTTTTAGTTGAAATAATGTCAATACAAATATATCTTTTTCACATTACTTTATATGATATAGTGTGTTATTAAAGTGCATAAATAGTCGATCCAATTGTCCTATTAAATAAATGGCTCTATTTTTTTCACCTTTCAATTTAAGTTTGTGAGGTTTTTAAGCCTTTTCTCGCTTGCTAATTTCTTTTTCTTACTTATAAACGAGGAAAAAAAAAAATAAAATAAAATAACGCTTCTATTCTCCTTTTATAAATCTACCCCAACTTTCACCTCACAAATTAACCCTTAACGTCTAGCTTATCACATCACGAGAAATGTCTCAAAATGAATTATCCGGAAATTCAAATTTTTGGCCTTCTTTTAACGTCCCTCCAGGTTTAGGGCTTTTAGATGAAGACTTTGAACTTCCTGAAAATTCACAAGGTAATTCCGTCGAAGAAGCGATGATTCCTGCGACTGAACAACTTCCTTTAATGCAACTAGAGCAACAACCAGCGTCATTACCTACTCAAAATAATGTCTCTCCTTTTCTTGATCTTCCCAATGATCCATCAATTATGAATTATAGTCCACCATCAACTTTTCAACCACTTACACCTACTCCTCCAATACCGCCGAATTCTAGATATTATTATCCACCACCTCCAACTTACATGAGTCATCCCTATTACAATCCTAGTACGTTCGCTGATCCAGAATATTTTGTTAAATTTATAGCTGAAGAGGACAAAAGAAGACGCAATACTGCTGCATCCGCGAGATTTAGAATAAAAAAGAAAATGCGTGAACAAGCCCTTGAACAAAATGCAAGGGAAATGTCCGAAAAGGCAGAAGTTTTGGAGAATCGCGTGAAAGAACTCGAAAGAGAAATCAAATGGTTAAAGAATTTACTTATTGAAAAAGATAGCAGACTATTAGATATACAACGTTCCGATAATAATAAGCATAAAGATGGTGGGGATAAAAATAGTAACGATAATAATAAAAATTGAAAATTTAGGTGATCAACGTCAAAATTAAAAAAAGATCAAGAATTTATGAACAATTTACTTCTTTATCTCTTTCATTTTTTCTTTCGAAATTTTGCTTTAGTAGACATTTCACAACGTGAACATACCATAAACATTTTTCTTGTGATGTGAAACCCAATTTTATATATGATTCCGATTTTTTCTTTAAGCATACACACACATTCGTTTAAAGATTTTTTTTTTCCACCGACTAAAAGAGCCAAAGAGATTAATCGATTCGTTTTATTTTTGTTTTATTTTATTTTATTTTTTTTTTCTTTAGATTTTATTCTTTTTTTTTCCGGTCGCAAATATTTTTATTTTATTTTCGATTTTTTTTTTAAAAAAATTGCGCACGCTTCGATAATTTATTATATGAAAATCTTACCTAATTTATATATGCTTACATATCTTTTTTTTTTTAAAAGAAAAATCTACAATCCCTGTTTTAAAAAAAAAGAAATATTATAAGATTTTATTTGAAGTAATTATTATTTTTTCTTCTTAACGACTAACAAAAGAAAAAAAAAAATTTAAGATTTTAATTTATGTAATATGCGTAATATGTACAAATAAATAATGAATACGAAAATTGATTAGTGATTTTTTGTTTATAAAATATAAATATTTATTTATTATTTTTGGAGAGGGATTGTTGATTTTACATGAATTAAATTTACTAGCCGATTAACTCAGCAAATACTCCGCGATCTGCCACGTCATTGAATTCATACGATTGGTATTTATGAAAACAATTTCTAAAGTCAAACAAACAAAAACTGATAATTATTGAACAAACAAACAGAAGATAAGATCATTTGTAAATAACTAACTAAATACATTCATAAATTTACATCAATTACCATTTGTGTGATTTAATTTACCGGGAGTAATAAAAATTTATCAAAATATGCGCATCCGATGTTAAATATTTGAGATCAATTAAAATGTTTTCCGAAATGTCACACAATGGTCCAATTTTCTTAAAATAGAATGAGCTATAATTAATAAACGTCTTGAATATGTTCTTGTGATTCAAAGATTCTATGATCAAAGATTCATTTATTTTGGATTATTCATTTTTCTAACTTAATTATAGATCTAATTATTAAATCCAATACATCATATACAACACATCAAATCCAATCCATCAAATCTAATATTATGAAATATATATATATATATATAATATTATGCTAAAACAGATGATTATTATTAATAAATTAAAAAATATAAATTAAAATAAATAATTAAAAAATAAATAAATTATAATTTCTTTCTCTCTCTTTCATACTCTCTAAACCATTAAAAAGTATTTATCCTTCTTTTTTGCTGCCATTTGCAGAAGACAACACATCAGAAGACATTAAATTATTTATATACGTTTGTAAAATTTGATTTCCTGATTGCATTTGATCATGATCGTTTTTAACTGATTCAGTCCTTTGAATTAAAGCTATTTGATCATTATAATTGAAATGGCGAATTAGTAAATAAATATATAAATATATAAATATAAAATATATACACGCATATATTTTTATAAAAAAGAATTATATAAAGTAGTAAAGCTACCTTTTAATCCTTCTTGTAATTCGAGAATTTCCCTAAAATAACAATAATATAATTTCAAAATAAATCAATTTTTTTTTTTTTTAAAAAAAAAAGGAAATAAAATAAAAAGAATTCAACTTTATTAAATTAGATTTTTCTTCCGGATTTAGTTCTTCAATCATTTCATTTTCGTTCACGTCCACATTTACGTTTTCGCTTTTTATTGTATTTAAAGAATTATTTAATAATGAAATTAAAGTCTCGGAAGAAGCGGAATTATTATAAGACATAGTAATTTTAGAGGAAAAGAAGTTATTTTGTTGTATACTATAACCATATAATCTAAGCCACACTTACGTCACGTAACACAACATCAAAATAATAAAAAATTTTCATTACAATCTTTTTGAACATCATTATTAAAGCAATTATACATAATATTATACTTGGCCAAAGGTATACACTTCCAGAGATCAATCGGACTGTTTACGTCAGTTCTGTATATAGATATATAAATTTAAAATGATTTTATCTAAAAGTCGCGTTCCTCAATTATTATTCTCTTCATGTTCAGTTAATAATGCAAGTTTTTCTAGAATAATAATACGAAATATCCAAAATAAACAAAAATCTGTTCCGGAACCACGAGGTATATACTACGCTTGGTATAAAATAATTTATATTTTATCTTGTAAACTTTAACGGGCTACTATCATGATCTTATAATGTTATATTAATTTGCAATTATTTATTTTAATAATAAGGTCAATTCATTGATCCCAAGTCCTTTTTAGAACAATGTGGTAGAGGATGTAATGAATTGGCTGATAAATTTCGGGTATATTATATTAAGCAAAAATATTATTAATTTTATTATTTACGATATAGATTTTCCTAATTTTTTTTTTAAAAAAGGATTGGGAACATCTTTTTACAGCTTCGAGTTATGAAATGAAAAGTGAAATGGGTATACCTGCAAAGCAACGAAAGTAGGTATTTTTTTTTATTAATAATATATAAATATAAATATTTATTTATAATTGATTAATTTATTTTAGATGGATACTTAGTTGGACAGAGCATTATCGAAATGGCATTGATCCATATATCATTCTTATTCGTTCAAAGAAAAAGAAAAAGAAATAAAAATTCAAAAAAATTTTGCTATAATAGAGGCTTAGCTATAAAATGAATAGACAAAAAAATCATATACTTAATATTAATTAAATGCAATTATTTAATATTTATATGAGAAAAATTAAGCCTTTAAATGCAAAAAGAATTATCTTAAAGTTAAAATAATCTACATAGGTCATTTAAATAGTATAATTAAAAAGAAAATAAAGATTTTTTTTGCAGTAAATAACAGATATTTTATTATATTTTATTATATCCAATTTTAATTTTATATAATATCACAAATAATCTAGTAATATAAAAAAAATAAAAAATTACAAAATTATTTTTAAACTAAATTAACCCATATTTATTTCATTAAAAACTATTTAAATTTAAATGCTTTTTCCTTTATTTATATTATACTATTTATATTTTTTAATTAATAATTTAAATTTAAAAATTCATTGTTATTATTAAATAATTCTTCTCAGTTCTCAGCTCTCAATAAATCTCAATAAATTATTAACTTATTTAACTATTTTAAATATTATATAACTCAATGAAAAATTAAATACAGTGATACCTCTATAAGTGCACCCTCTATAAGTGCATACACTATATAAATATATGGTAAATCTGATTTCAACTTGTAAAAGCTCTTAATATTTTACTCTTTATAAATGCACACCCTCTCTAAATGCACATTATTCTACTATTTTTTTATTATGTCCTAAGGGAAGTGCACTTAGAATGGTATCACTATAATAATTATTATATTAAAATTTAATAAATACCTTTAAAATTTTAATGTAATTTTTAAATATAAAAATTTTAGATATAACTAAAAAAGCAGTATTAAAATAAACTATTAATATAACTTTATATATTATATATAAATTTTTATTAATACTAATAATATAAATATTTTTCATGATTTTCTTTGCTGTAATAATAATAAGACTTTTAGCTAAAAATAATTCATTATTATGATCTATCTAATTATCATGGTTTATCTATTTAGCATAATCAATTATTTTAACAGTGCATATGTAAAATACTCAAATAGTATAACAAGTATAAAATAATTTTTGTAATACTATATGTAATTTGTATTACTTTAATTGTTTTAATAATTTATAAATAAATGTGGTACCATAATCACCTTGTGAAGAAAGAGGGGCATTTATGCTAAGATAGGACGTTTCAAACACTTTTTACCTTCTAAGCAAAACGTATTACTCAACAGTACACATGTGAGATGCTTTTTGGTATGACGAGTGATTTGGTAGTTAATAATATTAGATTAGATTTAGAGTTTTATTTACTTTTGTAATTTGCTTTAACATTTACTTTAATAAACTATTAAATACATTGCGATAAAAAAAAAAATAATAATAATTTACAAATGCATTGCAAAAAAATAATAATAATATAAAAATTCTTTTAATAAAATAAGTAAATTAAATATTTCCAGTTCCAATGATTTCTGGTTTACATCACCATTCTTTTTGGATAAATGGAACACTCAAAAAACTTCAACAAAGAGTAATATACTTGACAAACTGCAGCAGTAGAAAATGAAAAAGTCTAAGTTTATACTAGAGAAAACTATATCGACTATTATAACTGAATATATATCACAAGATAAGGTTAATATTCAGGAAATAATTATTTACAATATCTCTTCCATCATGTTGCAAATTGATATTCTTACGAACTTAAAGAAATGAGGTAAAGTTATTGCATTTAAAGTTAAGACATAAAAGAAATATTCAATAGTGACCGTGTCTATTAATCTCAATGAGTGGGCTTTACTAAATTGGAATAATGGAGTTTGGATTGCTTCATTTGAAAAAATGCCTATATGATAGTTAGATGTGTCCAAATTTGTTACTAATAATGTTGTTTACAATGCAGAGAACTTTGCTCAATTTATGCTATCACAATTAAATGGTACTTTACCTTTCAAAATCATTCAAAATCATGAAAGAAGAAAGTTGATTGTATATTTCAATACTTGAATAAGCCTGAATAAAGTACTTAATATAGAATTCAACTTTAAAGAATTTAAAAATGTTTAGATTAGATATTTTTCTTTTACCTTGAACTGGTCTAAAAATAAATTACTAAAGAAAACAGATACTGGTCAGAAACAGAACCAAGATAAGAATCTGAAAGTTATGCAGAAAAATGATAATGGTAGATAACATAAGAAAGTGAAATCTTTTGGAAATACAAAGCAATATACTTCAAATAATAAAAACTTTGATAATAATGTCAAACTTACTATTTTAACTAAAATTTAGGTGTTGTTAAGATCACTGGCCAACTAACAGGATGACAGAATCAAATATGATGTATAGTTTAAAAGGGTGTATTCACTACCATATTAGTACCATATCTATATATATTAACTCTTTTTTTTACACTATTTTTTTTATTTAAAATTCTTTTTTTTTTTCTCAGAAGGGGATTTTCTCTAAAAATGAGTATACATGTATAAATATAAAAAGTACTTTTATAGCCTAATTTCCACCTGATAGTGTAGACGTGAAGTCTTCTTACAGGGATGACAAGTGGTTTAAAGTTTACTAAATTAAATTAGTTAATTTTTATTTATATTTGTATATTATAATAGAAATTTAATTTCTCTAATAAAATTTTTAAATATGCTACAGTATCAAAAAAAAA